CTGGTGTAAGGTGGTATCTCATTGATGTTTTGATTTGGATTTCCCTGATGCTGAGCACTTTTTCATGTGTCTGTTGGCCATTTGGATGTCTTCTTGGAAAAATGTCTGTTCATGTCTTCTGCCCATTTCTTGATTGGATTCTTTGTTCTTTGGCTGTTGAGTTTGATGAGTTCATTATAGATTTTGGATAAGAGCCCTTTATCTGATATGTCATTTGCAAATATCTTCTGCCATTCTGTCGGTTGTCTTTTGGTTTTGTTGACTGTTTCTTTTGCTGTGCCAAAGCTTTTTATCTTGATGAAGTCCCAATAGTTCATTTTTGCCCTTGCTTCCCTTGCCTTTGGTGATGTTTCTAGGAAGAAATTGCTGCGGTTGATGTCAAAGAGGTTGCTGCCTGTGTTCTCCTTTAGGATTTTGATGGACTCCTGTCTCACATTGAGGTCTTTCAACCATTGGGAGTCTATTTTTGTGTGTGGTGTAAGGAAATGGTCCAGTTTCATTCTTCTGCATGTGGCTGTCCAATTTTCCCAACACCATTTGTTGAAGAGACTGCCTTTTTTCCATTGGACATTCTTTCCTGCTTTGTTGAAGATGAGTTGACCACAGAGTTGAGGGTCCATTTCTGGGCTCTTTATTCTGTTCCACTGATCAATGTGTCTGTTTTTGTACCAGTACCATACTGTCTTGATGATGACAGCTTTGTAATAGAGCTGGAAGTCCAGAATTCTGATGCCGCCAGCTTTGCTTTTCTTTTTCAACATTCCTCTGGCTATTTGGGGTCTTTTCTGGTTCCATACAAATTTTAGGATTATTTGTTCCATTTCTTTGAAAAAAGTGGATGGTATTTTGATGGGGATTGCATTGAATGTGTAGATTGCTCTAGGTAGCATTGACATCTTCACAATATTTGTTCTTCCAATCCATGAGCATGGCACGTTTTTCCATTTCTTTGTGTCTTCCTCAATTTCTTTCATGAGTATTTTACAGTTTTCTGAGTACAGATCCTTTGCCTCTTTGGTTAGATTTATTCCTAGGTATCTTATGGTTTTGGGTGCAATTGTAAATGGGATCGACTCCTTAATTTCTCTTTCTTCTGTCTTGTTGTTGGTGAATAGGAATGCCACTGATTTCTGTGCATTGATTTTATATCCTGTCACCATATTGAATTCCTGTATGAGTTCTAGCAGTTTGAGGGTGGAGTCTTTTGGGTTTTCCATATAAAGTATCATATCATCTGCAGAGTGAGTTTGACTTCTTCTCTGCTTATTTGGATGCCTCCTCGATTTTGATGCCTCTTTCCTTCCCCAAATTAGGGAATTTTTCTGCTATAATTTGCTCCAATATACCTTCTGCCCCTCTCTCTCTTTCTTCTTCTTCTGGGATCCCAATTATTCTAATGTTGTTTTGTCTTATCGTATCGCTTATCTCTCGAATTCTGCCCTCATGATCCAGTAGTTGTTTATCTCTCTTTTTCCCAGCTTCTTTATTTTCCATCATTTAGTCTTCTATATCACTGATTCTCTCTTCTGCCTCATTTATCCTAGCAGTTAGTGCCCCCATATTTGATTGCACCTCATTAATAGCCTTTTTTATTTCAACTTGGTTAGATTTTAGTTCTTTTATTTCTCTAGAAAGGGTTTCTCTAATAACTTCCATGCTTTTTTCAAGCCCAGCTAGTATCTTTAAAGTGATGATTCTGAACTCTAGATCCGACATCGTAGTAATGTCCGTATTGAGTAGGTCCCTGGCAGTCGGTACTACCTCTTGTTCTTTTTGTTGGGGTGATTTTTTTCCATCTTGTCATTTTGTGCAGAGGAGAATAGATTAATGAGAGAACAAAATGCTAGCAGGGTAACAACGTCCCCAGAAAATATACTCTAAACAAATCAGAAAAGACCTGAAGCAGGGGGAAAGAAAGGGAAAGAGAGAAAAAAGAAACGAAAAAAGAGAAAAAGATAAAGATAAAAACAAACAAAAACAGAACAACAACAACAAAAAAAACAGAATAGGATCAAATATGATCAGGCTGGTGCATAGATCAGTGCCACACACTAGATTTTGGGTGTATTTTGGTCTGTTAGAAGAAAGTGCCTCCCAAAACTTTAAAGAAAGAAAAACTTACATATGTATAAAAATAAGGGTTAATACAATGAAGGGATGGAATATGATTGTAAAGATGAAAATTATTAAAAATTTTATAAAGGAATTGATAAGAAGTTGTTTGAAAAAAGAAAGAAGAGGATTTAAAATAAAGAAAAAAAAGGGAGAGAATGTGATCAGGCAGGAGAGTAGAAAAAAAACATACACTAGAGATTTAGGGTATATTTTGATCTGTTAGAAGAAACTATCTCAAGATTTTAAAGAGAGAACAACTTATATATATATGCCAAAAATACGGGTAACTACTATGAAGGGATAGAATATGACTCTAAAAATGAAAAATAAAAATGTTTTTTTTAAAAAGGGATTGATAAGATGTTGGTTGAAAAAGGGAAAAAGAAAAATTCAAAAAAAAAAAAGTTAAAAAAAATTAACTTTGAAAGACTAAAGAATCAGGGGGAAAAAAGCCATGGATTCTATGTGCATTATTCCCCTAGTGCTGGAGTTCTGCCGTTCTCATCGATCGGTAAACTTGGTCTTGGCTGGCTGTTCTTGCTGATCTTCTGGGGGAGGGGCCTATTGCCGTCGTTCCCAAAAGTCTTTGTTGGAGGTGGAATTGCCCCACCCTTGCCAGGTCTGGGCTAAGTAATCTGCTTGGGTTTGCTCTCGGGAGCTTTTGTTCCCTGCAAGCTTTCCATACAGCTTTGGAGGCAGAGAGTGAAAATGGCGACCTCCCAATCTCTGCCCCGGAGGAGACGAGAACTTGGGGCCCCGCTCCTCAGTGCGCCCCCAGAGAAAAGCCATCAGTCACTCCTGTCTCCCCGGTCTCTGGCCGCACTCCGTGTTCACCCGGCCTGTGACCAAGCATTTCTATCTCTGGCACCCGACCCCGTGTGGAGTCTCCAAACCCCACAGATCCCTGCAGTGCGCTCCCACACCTCTCCTCCCCGGGGGAAGAAGGTGAGTCTCCCCGGATCTGCCACTTATTGGGTCCCTGCTGGAGGAGCAGTGGCCTGACTGTGCCGCAGATCACGGTTTATGGCAACCCCCAGCTGAGAGCCCACGCCTGGGCTCCACCTCTGCAGCCGGCTTCCCCGCTCCGATACCTGGGAGCTCTGCCGCACTCAGGCACCCCCGGTCTTTCTGTGACCCCAAGGGTTCCACCCCCTGCTTAGCCACCGGAGCGACGTCCCTCAGCAGAGCAGACTTTTTAAAAGTTCCGATTTTGTGCTCCACGGCTCTATCACTTGCCAGAAGCGGCCAAGGGAGGCCCCTCCCCCGGCGTCTATCTGCCCGAATATCGCCTCGGATTCACTTCTCCGCACGTCCTACCTTCCAGAAAGTGGTCGCTTTTCTGTTCAGAGAGTTGTTGCTATTCTTTTCTTTGATCTCCTGTTGAGTTTGTAGGTGTTCAGAATGGTTTGATCCCTATCCAGCTGAATTCCTGAGAGGAGACGAAATCCAGGTCTCCTACTCCTCTGCCATCTTGCTCCGCCCCCTCCTCTTACAGTTATTCTTAATTTATCTTTTTTTTTAAATTACTGCAGAACTTTTTTCTTTCATTATAAATTCTAAGTGGATGTAGTTTGCATATATGAAGGCTATTGAATAGAAAATAATATACATAGATTAACTTTATGGGTTTTTTTTAAGATTTTATTTATTTATTTGAGAGAGAGAGAATGAGAGAGAGCACATGAGAGGGGGGAGGGTCAGAGGGAGAAGCAGACTCCCTGCCGAGCAGGGAGCCCGATGCGGGACTCGATCCAGGGACTCCGGGATCATGACCTGAGCCGAAGGCAGTTGCTTAACCAACTGAGCCACCCAGGCGCCCGATTAACTTTATGTTTTACTGATTATTTGTTCACCCTTCTTTCTTAAAACCACAACTTCCTTCTCAGTTCATTTTTCTCATGCTGGGTACATTATTCAGTGAGTCTTTCAGATATAGGCCATGACTCATAAAAAAAATCCCAAGGTATTGCAAGCCTGAAGATGTATTTATTTTGCTGTCAATCTTGAATGATAGTTTGGGGAGAGAAGTCTAGGTTCAAAGTTGTTTTTCCACAGCAGTTTGAACCTACTGCCCATATTCTTGCATCCAGTCTTGCTAATAAAATAGTTACTGTCAAATCCATTCTTTTTTGTAAATTATCTAAACTTTTTTCTCTTTAGGATTAAAAAAATCTTTAATGTTCTGAATCTTGACGGTAGTATGGTACATGTTGGACTCACCTATTCTGCCCATTATTCTGGAAGCTATCTTAGTCTAAGGAGGTATGGTGGTGGTGCTTTTGCCCCCCGGGGGACACTTGGCAATGTCTAGAGGCATTTTTGTTTGTTGTAACTGGGAGTAGGGGGTTGCTGCTAAACATCTTATAATACCCAAGAAAGCCCCCCACCCCCAACAAAGAATTATCCAGCTCAATCTGCCAATAGTGCCAACAGTAAGAAAGCCTGGGGTATGGGTATTTTAGTTTGAGGCCTAGATGTGGCCACATGGGGGTCAAATGGAACTGACCGCAGTCTCACATTAAGTTTCTGGCTGTCAATCCTGACTTTGCAGTAGAGTTGTTGTCCTGGGCTTGTGGTGGGGCCCACCTCTGTTTATTACTATAGTTTACCCACTCTTCCCTCCTTCTGCAAATGCCTCATAGTTTTTGGTCCACAGAGAGGTGCTTTTCTTATTTTAGAGCATGACTATATAATAATGCTTTAAGATATCTTTTCGGTTATTTCTATGAATTCTGTTCTGAGAGAGATTTCAACATGTGACCTTTGAGGTCTTTATACAAAGGTACAAAGTCAATAAAATTAATTATAGCAATATTGAAAGAAAAAAAGAAGCAACGAATCACCCATAATCCCAGCAATCAGAAACATTCAAGGTTAACAATATATCAGAAAGCAGGTTTTTTTAATATATCACATGATATATAAGAACAGCTAGACAAAAGTAATTATAAAGTGGAAAGATATTATACATACTATTTTTTTTTAAGATTTTATTTATTTATTTGAGAGAGAGAGAATGAGAGACAGAGAGCATGAGAGGGAGGAGGGCCAGAGGGAGAAGCAGACTCCCCGCCGAGCAGGGAGCCCGATGCGGGACTCGATCCCGGGACTCCAGGATCATGACCTGAGCCGAAGGCAGTCGTTTAACCAACTGAGCCACCCAGGCGCCCCTTATACATACTATTTTAAAATTATTTTCACATTTATTTTATTTGAACTGAATGGAAGAAAAGGCAACTAATAAAATTGAAGAGCTGAACTACAGAATATATTTCTTTAACCTAAGAACTTTTAGCTACTAAAAGATCCAATATTAAAATAATTAAATTGAAAAAAGCAATTAAAATGCTTGGAATCATTTTTAAAGTTACATTAAAATCTGTATTAGTATTGATCAATTCCTTGCCATGAAAGATGACATTAGCACTTAGAATTCTTCACTCTGCTTCCTGACTTCCTAACTTTTGTTGATTACCATAATGGGCATCTGTTGTTTCAACCTATAGAACATCCTCTCACCCTATACTAGTAACCAATATTCTTTCCATACTACATCAAGACTTTTGGAGATTTTCAACCAAGGGGTCTTTGCTATGGTAGCTAAGAGCTGAGTGCAGTATCCACACTAGGCAAATAAAAGTCTTTCACTGTAATTTGATCTTCATAAGCCAAAGTAAAGAAAATGACTGGAGCAAATTCCTACCAGCCATCTAGATCCTTGGAGCTTCCCAGGTACTAATCTTCTCTAAGGCCTATTTGGTCAGCTTGTCTTTGATTCTGTGAGTGGTCCTCCCTCAATAAATTCTTTTTGTTTGTTTATTTGTTTAAATTGTCCAGAGCCTGTTTTTGTTCATTGAAACAAACAAAAAAATCTATCTGATATAAAAATGTTTTTACTTTGTCAAGGTTTATAACAGTATTTTCTGTAATCATAATTCCTATTTATCTTAGTCATATACAGGTGAATGGACTTAAAGTCCAATTACCATTATCCTTTATTTTCACATATTGCCTGATTTAGCTAGATTTCCTCACTGAGTAATTTTTCTTCAAGAATACTTAATGACAAACAATGAATCATGGAACACTACATCAAAAACTAATGATGTACTGTATGGTGACTAACATAACATTAAAAAAAGAATGATTAATGAGCTATGTATTTATATAATTCTTTCCTGTACAAAAATATCCATGAACTTCCTTTGAATTAGAATGGTATTTTGGCTAGATTTAATATTTTTAGGTCAAAAAAATTCCCCCCAAGAACTTTATACATATTGCTTCATTGTCTTAGCTGAGTAACAGGGATCATATTTACCCTCACTTTGGAAACAACTGCAAAATCAGACAAAACATGAAATGACAGGGTTCAGTGAAGGACTGATCCCTGAGATATGGGAAATTAATGAGGTGATCTCTATCACTGCCCCTGTTTACTGCCTGTAGAAAGTTTCTAGGCTGCAGTTCAGAAAGGGGGAAATTTAGGTAGTTTGGCAATCTCTGTGAAGTGAATAGACAGAGTTGGGACTTTAGGGAGGCCAAGGAAACTAGAGTCTGTAGGGCAGAATACCAGCGAAGACAGCTTCACAGAGAGAAAATTCTAAAACCTGCAAAGCATCCCCTTTGAGTATTCAGCTGAGTACTTATCAGCTTGTGTCTGAGGAAATGTTTGAGGATGAAGAAAGACCCACCCAAAAGTATTGGAACAATCCTTGGAGCTCACATAGGTCAAAAACAGTGCCTATTCCCACCAACCAGAGTGAAAAACATCAAAATTCACAAGGCATTAGGTAAGAGAGTACTCAGAAGAGTTTTGCCTCAGTAGGGGTAAAAAGTTAACCCTAGATTAAATGTTGCTCTGGTCCTGTAAAACAAAACTTAAAAACAGGATCCAAAAAGATCAAACTAATTCCAAGTAACAACCATATCTCAGAACAAAGCTCAAGAGTACTTGTAAGAATACAAAAACATTCAGTATCCAACAAGGTAAAACTCACAATGTCTAGCATTGAATAAAAAATTACCATGTATGCAAAGAAGCTAGAAAATACCAACCATAGAGAGGAAAAAAATCCATTTGGAACTGACTCAGAATTAACACAGACAATATAATTAATAGATTATAAGGTTGAAATAGATATTATAACTGTATTCCATATGTTCAAGAAATGGAAGAAAGATTGAACATATTAAGTAGAAACAAGAAAAATATTTAAAAAGGATCCGAATTAAGCTTCTAGAAAAGGATTAGAAGATGAAACAATGTCTAAGATGAAAAATACACTGAATGGTATTCGTGGCATATTAAACATTGTATACAGAAGAAAAAAATAGTGAACTTGAAGACAGCAACAGAAACCAGCTGATATAAAACACAGAGAAAAAATTTAAAGCACAGAGCATCAGTGAGTTGTGGAACATAGTCAAGTGGCCTGATATACATATAATTGAAGTAGGTGAGGAGAAGAAGGGGTATAGAAAATATATTGCAAGAAATAACTGATGATGGATCTTTTTAAATAAAATAAGCTTACCCCAATAAAAGATAAATCATGTAAAAAAGAGAGAAAGAATTGAGAGAATAACTGAAAAATTTTCAAAGTTAGTGAAAACTGTCAACCCACAGACCCAAGGAGTTCTCAACAAACCTCAAGCACAAGAAATTTTTTTAATTACCAAAGGTCATTATAATTAAATTACCTAAACCAATAATAAAATCTTAAAAGCAGTCAGAAAATGATACATTGTGTACAGAGCAATAAAGATGAGGATGACAGCAGATTTATTTTTGGAAATTATGCAAGATAAAAGACAATGAAGGAATATATTTAAATAACTGAAAAACAAAACTATCAATCTAGGCCTCTACCCAACAAAGCTATCTTTCAAAAACAGAGGTGAAATGCTTTTTTCTGTACATACAAAATCTGAACGAATTCATCAACAGATCTACACTATAAAAAATGAAGAAATTTCTTTGAGTAGGAAAATGATGCAAGATAGAAATCTAGATTCACACAAAAGAATGATAACCATCAGAAATGGTAAGTATAAAGAATTTTTTTTCCTATTATTTAAAACTCTTTAAAATACAAGTGGCTGTTTAAAGCAAAAATAATATCAACATGTTGTGGTATTTATGACATATATAGAAGTACAGTGTATGGCAATAAAGCACAAAGCCTGGGAAGGAGAAATGGAAGTATAGTGTTATAAAGTTCATGAAATGGTATAATATCATTTGAAGGAAGACTGTGATGAGTTAAAGATATATACTGTAAACCCTAAACGTGCCACTAAAATAACAAAACAAAGAGTTATAATTAATAAGCCAATAAAGGAGACAAGATGTAATTGTTTAAAAATACACAATTAAGCAGGAAAGAATATCCAGTGGGAAAAAGAGTCTCTTTGACACATGGTGTTGAGAAAACTGTCAGCTACATGGAAAAGAATGAAACTGGACCACTTTTTTCCACCATACACAAAAATAAACTCAAAATGGGATTAAAGACCTTAATGTCAGACCTGAAACCATAAAAATCCTAGAAAAGAGCAAACGTAGTAATGTCTCTGATATCAGCTATACCAATATTTTTCTAAATAGGTCGCCCGAGGCAAGAGAAATAAAAGCAAAAATACACTATTGGCACTACATCAAAATAAAAAGCTTCTGCATGGCAAAGGAAACAATCAACAAGACTAAAAGCCTTCCTACTAAACAGGACAAGATATTTGCAAATGACATACCTAATAAAGGGTTAGTATCCAAAATATATAAAGAACTTATACAATTCAACACCTAAAAAACAAATAATCCAATTTAATTTTTAAAAATATTTTATGTATTTATTTGACAGAGAGAGAGAGAGAGAGAGTGAGCACACAAGCAGGGGGAGCAGCAGACAGAGAGGGAGAAACAAACTCTCCACTGAGGGATGGGGGCTTGATCCCAGAAACCTAGGATCATGACCTGAGCCGAAGGCAGACATTTAACCAACTAAGCCACCCAGGCACCCCTAAATAATCCAATTTTAAAATGGGCAGAAGACATGAACAGACATTCCTCTAAATAAGACATCCAACTGGCCAATAGACACATGAAAAGATGCCCAACATTACTCATGATCAGGGAAATGCAAATCAAAACCACAATGAGATATCACCTCACACCTGTCAGAATGGCTAAAATCTAAAAGACGATAACAAGTGCTGAAAAGGATGTGGAGAAAAAGGAACACTCATGCACTGTTGGGAATGTAAACTGGTACAACCACTGGGGAAAACAGTATGGGGTACCTCAAAAAGCTAAAAATAGAACCACTCTACAATCCAGTAATCATACTAATGGGTATTTACCTAAAGAATACAAAAACACTAAGTCAAAAGAATATATGTCCTTATGTTTATAGCAGCATTATTTACAATAGCTAAATGATGGAAGCAGCCCAAGTGTCCATCAACAGATGAATGGGTAAAGAAGATGTGGGGTGTGTGTGTATATATACATATATATAATGGAATACCATTCAGCCATAAAGAAGAAGGAGGAGGAGGAAGAAGGGAAGAGGGAGGGGGAGGAAGAGGAGGGAGAGCATGAAATCTTGCCATTTGCAAAAACGTGGACGGAGCTAGATAGCATAATACTAAGCAAAATAAGTCAGAGAAAAACAAATGATTTCACTCATATATGTGGAATTTAAGAAATAAAACAAATGAGCAAAGGAAAAAAGAGAAAGAAAGAGCCAAAGCAAGAAACAGACTTAACTATAGAGAACTGATGGTTATCAGAGAGGCGGTGGGTAGGGGGATGGGTGAAATAGGTGATGGGGATTAAGGAGTGCACCTGTTGTGATGAGCACCAGGTGATGTATGGAAGTGTTGAATCACTATATTGTACACCTGCAACTAATGAAACACTGCGTGTTAACTACACTGGAATTAAAATTAAATTTAAAAAAATAAAAATGCAAAATTAAGTCAAAAGGATGCAGAAAAATAGAGAAAAGGGAACAAAGAATAGATGATAAAATGGAAAAAAAATAGCAGTAGGGTAGATTAAAACCCAAACATAACAATAATCACATTTAAAATAGTATAGAAAGTAGGTGAAGGATACAGGGGGTTCTTCTGTACTACTCTGTACTTCCTTTGCAACTTTTTATAAATCTCTAAGTATTTGAAAATAAAACGTTTTTAAAAGTTTTTAAAAGTTTAAAAAGTTAATTTAAACACTCAATTAAAAGGTAGATGTGGTCAGATTTGATTAAAAAGCAACTGAATGAAAACAAAAATACAGTATATTCTTTATCTTGTTGCTCCAGAGAAATCAGAAGCCAGAATGATCATTCACACAATTGGATTTTTCTGCTTCGATTGTTAAGAATTCTTTCAAACTGAGGACTTATTTTAGGAAAAATTTCCCATATTATATCTTAGAACATTTTTACTGTTTCATTTACTGATTCTCTACTCCATATCCATTCTTAGTGGATCATTATACTCCAGATATGTCTTCTTTATAACTACGTTAATATTTGTCTTATCTCTCTCCATTTACGTGACTATCTCAAGCTTTCCTTTATGTCAGGAACTGGGTCTTCAATTTCTTGTTGCTTCTAATTTATTTTTCTTCTGTAATGTTTCACAATCTGTTTCTTTTCTTTTTTAAGATTTTATTTATTTGAGGGGTGCCTGGGTGGCTCAGTCGTTAAGCATCTGCCTTCGGCTCAGGTCATGATCCCAGGGTCCTGGGATCGAGCCCCACATTGGGCTCCCTGCTCAGCGGGAAGCCTGCTTCTCCCTCTCCCACTCCCCCTGCTTGTGTTCCCTCTCCTGCTCTCTGTCAAATAAATAAATAAAATCTTAAAGATTTTATTTATTTGAAAGAGAGTGTGAGTGAGAGAGAGAAGGAGCAGGGGGAGGGGCAGAGGGAGAAGCAGACTCCCCGCTGAGCAGGGAGCCCAATGCGGGACTTGATCATGACCTGAGCTGAAGGCCAATGCCTAACTGACTGAGCCACCCAGGCGCCCCCACAATGTTTCCTTAGCAAGATCCCTCTTCATCTCTTTTGGCTGCTTTATCATTTTGTCTTTCAACTCTTGTTTTATTAAATTTATGGACTTCCCAAATTCTTCTATAGCAATAGCCTTTGAGAAACTAGCTAAAATCCTAAAGGCTCGGCGGAACAAAGATGTTGGATTTACTTTATTTCATTGGTTATTAAATTAAATGAAAAGCAAAATGTAACTTTTGAGTCCAGTACATTCATCTTCTTAGGGACCCTTTAAAAAAAAATTAATAAATAAAACACAATGTGTCTCCCTGGGGAATTGTGGGAATCTTACCTTCATGCAGTGACCTAAGATTCTCCATAGGACTAATACTAAAGCAGACCTAAAGAGCTGAGATTCTAAATAACCAAAAGACATGCATAACATATTTTAAAAGACAGTGATCAAAATTACTAACACCATTAAAAGAATAAAATGGAAAAGAATCATGTAATATGGTTTATAAGAAATTAACAGTTTGTACCTTCTGATCTTACATTTTGAAATATTGTACAACCATTTCTGGCCCATAAAAGGGCAGACACATGACCCCTCTCTGCCCTTCATACCCTCCCAGCACATCTTACTCAAGCATTTCTGTGCATTGCTGTATTAAAAATAGTGAAAATTAAAAAAAAAATAATGAAAATATCTGAGTCCACCTGGCACACATGGCTCAAAGATCTTCTCATGATGTCTTCCCTCACTAAGCACTTCCCCAACCATGCTGAATAACCAGTTTCCCCCTCTATCTACTTACCTACGTATGTGTAAACACACACACACACACACTCTCTGCATCTCAGGCACCTCCAATTACTACTCTGATGTAACTATCTGAAATTCTTGTACTTGTATTTGTGTACTTGTCTATGATTTACCTCTGCCCCAAAGAAGGAATCTTGTCTATCTTATTCGCTACCCTATCACTAACTCATCCCCCGCCCCCAGCACCAAGAATATACACCTCAGAGTGAGTGCTCATTAAATATTTGATGATTAAATGTTTAGGTCACATGGTTTCATGGTTAACTAGAGATGAGAGCTTCCTAATTGTTTCTTAGACTGGGATCTTCCTGTCAAATGGAAACCTTCAGAATATAGAGATGTTTCTTCGCCCTGGAAGCCAGACAGAGCAGAAGATTGTGGAAAACAGCTGGCTCGGCCACTGTTGGGTTGAACCCAAACACGATGTTTCTTTCCAGGCCTGAAAATCGTCGGACACTGTCCAACACAATGTGATTGGCCATGATATCTGATGCATCCTTGATCTGTACTAACAGGTCAGATTCCTCATTGAGCTGAGATATTTTTCTTTTCCTCATTGCTCTTAGGAGCTTATCTTTATATTTTTCCACTTCACTTGCTTTGCTGAAAAGCACAGCAATGTCCTTGGGAGAATAACCATTCCTAAAGAGAAACTGACATTTCTCTGCTACTTGGACAACCATCTCTTCCAGGTCCAAGTACTCCATAATCTCAAAGTTGCCTGGAATACCCTGAGCCCATTTAGCTTTATGAACCATCTCCAGGGACCCCAAGGGGATGTTAGGTGGAGGATTTTCTTTGACCTCCTGCATTACTTCTTGTAGGTAGTTGGCTATTGGATCTGCATTGCGGACCACTCTGGTGAGCTCTTCTCTTGGATACTGGGCTTCAAGAGCAGGGAGGCCATTGTGGCTCAAGTGGCTGGTCTGAAAGTAGTCCAGGAAGATCCAGAGAATTCCTGGGCAATCGTTTTCTCTCTGAGTGATGTTTTTTGCCTTCTCATACCAGTCTCCATCTTCAGTGCGGAAATTCTGAGCTTCATCAATGATGATGTGCTGAATCTTTTGAAAGTCATTTTTCATGAAGGTTTTCCGGGTCACTGCCTGGCAGATGTTTTTCTTGCTGAAAATGTAAGAAACATAGTCAGGTTTCCCCACTCAAACAAAGGAAGCCAATTCTACCCCCCCCTTTTTTTTTAAAGAGGGGTAACGGGCAGAGAGAGAGTGATAATCTTAAGCAGGCTCCACATCCAGTGCAGAAGCTGATGTAGGGCTCGATCTCACAACCCTGAGATCATGACCTGAGACTAAATCAAGAGTCGGAGGCTTAACCAACTGAGCCACCCAGGTACCCATCAATTCTACTCCTAAACTCTTCTGGACATAGTAAATACAATATGAATTTTAGCATGTGAACTTAAAGCCAAACTAGTCAAAGTTACTCCAAAAAATGAAAATGGATATAGTTAGGCTGCATACCTCACAAACTTCCTCAGGGGCTGATTTTCACAGATGTAAAGAATGTCACTTGGTTGACAGTGAAACACATTCCTGATCTTCTCCATTATCCTAAGAGCCAGGATGGTCTTCCCTGATCCAGGTAAGCCATGAACAAACAGTTCTCTGGTCATGCGAATGTTCTTTGACAGCAACTCATACTGTTTATCTGTGAGTATGTTCAAAACCTCAGAGCCCAGCTCTTCACTTAAGAAAGATCGGAACCCAAGCAAGACTATCACAAGGGACTGTAACAGAGCTTCTATGTGCTGGGTGGTTGTAAGGTTATAGGACTCGGGGTAAATTTGTAAATCTGAACAATGAAGAGTCTCTGCTGTTCTATCAGGGTTCAGCAGGAAGACCAAGGGAGTGATGCACAATTTCCCAGTGTAGCCACCTGTGTTCACCAGCTTCTGCTTTAAGGTACGGGCGACTGTCATAGAATAGCTCTTCCAGCTTGCATCACACTCACTGAGGATGGTGTAGAGGAGTGGGATGTTGTTCTGGGAAAGCAGAAGAGCATCACAGATTACTCCCTGCTTCTCTGATAGACCCAAGTCCACAGCCCAGCTTCGAGAAAAAATCAGTATTCCTTGAGAGAAAGGGCGTATTTCCTTATTTATTAAGTCTCTGAGTCCTTTATGTTTTGAGAACAGTTCCTTGTAGAGGTTTTCTGGAGTATACACCACTCTGTCTGATAATACTAAACAGCAAAAGAATTGGAATAAATTAGAGAATCCCAAGACAAGCTAGTAATCATCATTATATGTAATAGATTCACTCCATATTTGAGCCCAACCATGTATCAGTACTAGCATGCATTAGTAATGAAAAGATCAAGCAACTCCCAGTCTGCTGGAGCTGATAACTGACTGGCATAACAGAGAGAAACAATAATTATACAAAGTGGTAAATGCAATGGGAAAGAAGTGCACAGAGCATTATGCAATCATCAATGAGAGGTACACCTTGAGAAAAAAGAAAATATGAAAGCCTTTATGAAAAAGGAGACACCTGAGCTGCTTCTTAAGGGATGGCTGTCAGTTAGCTTTCTGAAGGTTGGGAGAATAGAGAGACAGGTAAAAGGGGACTCATGAGTAAAGCAGAGAGACAAGAAACAGCAAGGTCCATGCAAGCACTTCCAAGAAGTTTATGTTGTGAAAAACACAAAGGAGGAAATGAGAATGGGGAACAAGGCTTATAGTGCTATCTTAACACCTGGCAACACTGACTAGTGTTAACAATACTGTGGTATAGGCGGGAGGAGTGAGATGGCAGAGGAGCTGGTTCCAGGAATTCAGCTGGATAGGGATTAAACCATTCTGAACATCTACAAACTCAATAGATCGAAGAAAAGAATACCAACAACTCTATGAACAGAAAAGCGACCACTTTCTGGAAGGTAGGACGTGTGGAGAAGTGAATCCAAGGCGATATTTGGGAAGATAGACAGCGGGGGAGGGACCTCCGTGGGCCGCTTCTGGCAAGCGATAGAGCCGCGGAGCACAAAATTGGAACTTTTAGAAGTTGGCTCCACTGAGGGACGTCACTCCGGTGGCTAAGCGGGGGGTGGAACCCTCGCGGGACAGTGTGGTCTCAGGACCCTTGGGGTCACAGAAAGACTGGGGGTGCCTGAAGGCGGCAGAGCTCCCAGATATCGGAGCGGGGAAGCCGACTGCAGAGACGGAGCCGAGGCGTGGGCTCTCAGCTCGGGGTTGCCATAAACCGTGATCTGCGGCACAGTCGGGCCACTGCTCCTCCTGCAGGGACCCAACAAGCGGCAAATCCGGGGAGACTCACCTTCCTCCCCCGGGAGGAGCGGCATGGGAAAGCACCGCAGGGATCTGCTGGGTTTGGAGACTCCACACCGAGTTGGGTGTCAGAGAAATGCTCGGTCACAGGCCAGGTGAGCATGGAGTGTGGCCGGAGACCAGGGAGATGGGAGTGACTGACTGCTTTTCTCTGGGGGCACACTGAGGAGCGGGGCCCTGAGTTCTTGGCTCCTTCGGGGTGGAGATTGGGAGGCCGCCATTTTCACTCTCGGTCTCCAAAGCTGTACGGAAAGCTTGCAGGGAACAAAAGCTCTGGAGAGCAATCCCAAGCAGACTACTTAGTCTGAACCGGGCAAGGGCGGGGCAATTCCGCCTCCGACAAAGACATTTGGGAACCATGGCAACAGGCCTCTCCCCCAGAAGATCAGCAAGAACAGCCAGCCAAGACCAAGTTTACCAATCAATGAGAATGGCAGAACTCCAGTGCTAGGGGAATAATGCACATAGAATCCATGGCTTTTTTCCCATGATTCTTTAGTCTTTCTTTTTTTTTTTTTTTTAAGATTTATTTATTTATTTGACAGAGAGAGACACAGCGAGAGAGGGAACACAAGCAGGGGGAGTGGGAGAGGGAGAAGCAGGTTTCCCGCTGAGCAGGGAGCCCGATGTGGTGCTCGATCCCAGGACCCTGGGATCATAACCTGAGCCGATGGCAGCCTCCCAACCAACTGAGCCACCCAGGCGCCCCTCTTTAGTCTTTCAAAGTTCATTTTTTTATATCTCTTTATTTTTTTCTTTTTCTATTTTTTTAGTTGAATTTTTCTTCTTTCCTTTTTCAACCAACATCTTATCAATTCCTTTTTAAAAATCTTTTTTAATTTTCATTTTTAGTCATATTCTATCTCTTCAAAGTATTTAACCTTATTTTTGTAAATATATGTTTTTCTTTCTTTAAAATTTTGGGAGGTAATTTCTTCCAACAGACCAAAATACATCCAAAATCTAGTCTGTGGCTTTGTTCTATTCACCAGCTTGATCATATTCTTTTTTTTTTTTTTTTCCCCTTTCTTCCCCCCCCCCCCAGTTTCAGGTCTCTTCTGATTTGTTTCATGTATATTTTTCTGGGGTCGATGTTAACCTTTTAACATTTTGATCTCTCATTCATCTATTCTCCTCTGGACAAAATGACAAGATGGAAAAAATCACCTCAACAAAAAGAACAAGAGGTGGTACGGACTGCCAGGGTCCTAATCAATACAGACATTAGTAAGATGTTGGAACTAGAGTTCAGAATGACGATTATAAAGATACTAGCTGGGTTTAAAAAAAGCATAGGAGATACTAGAGAATCCCTTTCTGTAGAAATACAAGAACTAAAATCTAACCAAGTAGAAATAAAAAAGGCTATTAATGAGGTGCAATAAAAAATGGAGGCTCTAACTGCTAGGATAAATGAGGCAAAATAGAGAATCAGTGATATAGAAGACCAAATGATGGAGAATAAAGAAGCTGAGAAAAAGAGAGATAAACAACTGCTATATCACGAAGGGAGAATTCGAGAGATAAGTGATATCATAAAGCAAAACAATATTAGAATATTGGGATCCCAGAAGAAGAAGAAAAAGAGGGGCAGAAGGTATATTGGAACAAATTATAGCAGAGAACTTCCCTAATTTGGGGAAGGAAACAGGCATCAAAATCCAGGAGGCACAGAGAACCCCCCGCTTAAAATCAGTAAAAATAGGTCAATACCGTGACATCTAATAGTAGAATTCACGAGTCAGAGCCAAAGAGAAAATCCTGAAAATGGCTCAGGAGAAGACATATGTAACCTACAATGGTAGAAACATTAGATTGGCAGCAGACCTATCCACAGAGACCTGGCAGGCCAGAAAGAACTGGCATGATATATGCAGAGCACTAAACGAGAAAAATATGCAGCCAAGAATACTATATCCAGCTAGACTGTCACGGAAAATAGAAGGAGAGATAAAAAGCTTCTAGGACAAACAAAAACTTAAAGAATTTGCAAACACCAAACCAGCCTTACAAGAAATATTGAAAGGGGTCCTCTAAGCAAAGAGAAAGCCTAAAAGTAACATAGACCAGAAAGGAACACAGAAAATATACAGTAACAGTCACCTTACAGGCAATACAATGGCACTAAATTCCTATCTTTCAATAGTTACCCTGAATGTAAATGGGCTCAATGCCCCAATCAAAAGACACAGGCTATCAGATTGGATTAAAAAACAAGACCCATCGATATGCTATCTGCAAGAGACTCATTTTAGACCCAAAGACACCCCCAGACTGAAAGTGAGAGGGTGGAAAACCATTTACCATGCTAATGGACACCAAAAGAAAGCTGGGGTGGCAATCCTTATATCAGACAAATTAGATTTTAAACCAAAGACTGTAATAAGAGATGAGGAAGGAAACTATATCCTACTTAAAGGGTCTATCCAACAAGAAGATCTAACAATTTTAAATATCTATTCCCCTAACATGGGAGCAGCCAGTTATATAAGCCAATTAATAACAAAATCAAAGAAACACATCAATAATAATACAATAATAATAGGGGACTTTAACACCCCCTCACTGAAATGGACAGATCATCTAAGCAAAAGATCAACAAAGAAATAAGAGATTTGAATGACACACTGGACCAGATGGACTTCACAGATATATTCAGAACATTCCATCCCAAAGCAACAGAATACACATTCTTTTCTAGTTCCCATGGAACATTCTCCAGAATAGATCACATCCTAGGTCACAAATCAGGTCTCAACTGGTACCAAAAGATTGGGATCATTCCCTGCATATTTTCAGACCACAATGCTTTGAAACTAGAACTCAATCACAAGAGGAAATTTGGAAAGAACTCAAATACATGGAGGCTAAAAAGCATCCTACTAAAGAATGAATGGGTCAACCAGGAAATTAAAGAAGAATTTAAAAAATTCATGGAAACAAATTAAAATGAAAATACAACTGTTCAAAATCTTTGGGATGCAATAAAGGCAGTCCTAAGAGGAAAGTATATAGCAATACAAGCCTTTCTCAAGAAACAAGAAAGTTCTCAAATACACAACCTAACTCTACACCTAAAGGACCTGGAGAAAGAACAGCAAATAAAGCCTAAACCCAGCAGAAGAAAAGTAATAAAGATCAGAGAAGAAATCAATGAAATAGAATCCAAAAGAACAGTAAAACAGATCAACGAAACTAGGTGCTGGTTCTTTGAAAGAATTAATAAGATTGATAAATCCCTGGCCAGACTTATTGAAAAGAAAAGAGAAAGGACCCAAATAAATAAAATCATGAATGAAAGAGGAGAGCTCAAAACCAACACCAAAGAAATGCAAACAACTATAAGAACATATTATGAGCAACTCTATGCCAGCAAATTAGAAAATCTGGAAGAAATGGATGAATTCCTAGAGATGTATAAACTACCAAAACTGAACCAGGAAGAAATAGAAAACCTGAACAGACCCATAAGCAGTTAGGAAATTGAAGCGATAATAAAAAATCTCCCAAAAAACAAGAGCCCAGGGTCAGACGGCTTCCCAGGGGAATCCCACCAAATATTTAAAGAAGAATTAATACCTATTCTTCTGAAACTGTTCCAAAAAATAGAAATGGAAGGAAAACTTCCAAACTCATTTTATGAGGCCAGCATTACCTTGATCCCAAAATCAGGCAAAGACCCCATCAAAAAGGAGAATTACGACCAATATCCCTGATGAACATGGATGCAAAAATTCTCACCAAAATACTAGCCAATAGGATCCAACAGTACATTAAAAGGATTATTCACCATGACCAAGTGGGATTTATTCCTGGGTTGCAAGGTTGGTTCAACATCTGCAAATCAATCAATGTGATACAATACATTAATAAAAGAAAGAACAAGAACCAT